TCCTGATGAGTCGGTGAAACTCCGACGAAACAGTTTGTCACAGCCCCTCGTTTGTTGTCCTCTTCTCTCTCTCTGCCTACGGTTTACCGGGCAGTTCTATTTGTGACGATATATATATATATATATATTTTTTTCAGTCTGTAGAGTTTTCCATCTGGTGTGGGTGATTGATAGTCTACTTTGATTTTGGTTAAGGTAGATTATCATTTACAGTGTAATCAGTGAGGGGATTCTGCAGACTGTTGAGGGTTCCGCCTCCTGATGAGTCGGCGACGAAACAGTTTGTCACAGCCCCTCGTTTGTTGTCCTCTTCTCTCTCTCTGCCTACGGTTTACCGGGCAGTTCTATATATATCTTCTCTCTCTCTGCCTACGGTTTACCGGGCAGTTCTATTTGACGATATATACATAATTGTATAATTGATTCTGTGTGTCGCTTGTGTTGCCTGCTGTTTTGTCCATTTGGCTCCCGTCTTCTTCGGACCTGAGCACAGATTCAAGCGGGAGATGAACTTGCGTTCGACTATCGGTATAAACTACTACCGGGCAAGGGATGCCCGTGCTATTGTGGGGCGCCAAAGTGCAGAGGCAGGTTGTACTGACTGCAACCTGGACAGGGAAGGTGAAAATTCTTCTGGTGTTATCTGGCTGGGGGGTGGGGTCATTTTGACCCCAATATGGAGAGGGTCAGAATTTTATTTAGTTTAGGGTTTAAACTGTGGGGATTTTGAAAGGCTAGGAAGAGAGGTTGGCATGTTTAGGAAAATTGAAAGTTGGTGAGCTTGGAGGCAAAAAGAGGGAGGGAGGCTCTCTGTTCCATGCAAGCAAGGTTTGTGAGTTTAGCACAGTCGAAACCTTTGTGAGCTTGGAAGTAAAAAAGGAGGATGTTCTGCTCAGCGCTTTCTCATTGTAAAGTTGTCACCCATCCATTCATTTAGCAGAAGAAACATGTATCCTTCATTGAATCTTATGCATTTCTTGAATCCAGTTGCCCATAAGATATTCTCTATCTGCCTCGTTGTGTCTGAGATGTGCATGTCTGTGCCTGCATCTCCTTCTCTTTGCAATGTTTGCATGTATCTGTACAATCACCTGCTTTTTTGCTTCCTCTCTCTCTCTCTCTCTCTCTCTCTCTCTCTCTCTCTCTCTCTCTCTCTCTCTCTCTCTCTCTCT